TACTTGCCTTGAATAAAATTTTTGATTTTTTTATATTTCACTTCCACTGCCATCTTGTCTTGGTTTTATCGTTAAATAAGTCAACAATTTTAAAATAAGTTACTATTTTTAAAAAAATAGTAATAGTAAATGAATATTACATTTTTTTTATTAATTCTGTTTCCGAATAAATGCGCTGACCAAAGGAGGATAACAGCTAGTTTTTTTTTAAATTAAAATTTTTCCTCCCTGAAAAATAATGCTGGTTACTATGGATAGGCATTTGAGGAAAAACCTGTAGAAATCTCAAATTAAGAGCCTATAATGCTGAGGAAAAACCAGTTATGATATATGATTGCATTATCTGAAAACTAGCCGGGGAGATACATTTTATCCCTGTGTTATGAGCTCAGTAATATAAAACAAAAACTGAGCACTAGCCAGCATCATAAAAATAAAAATAAAAGTATACTCAACATATTATATTGGGTTAAGGAAAAAGTGATTTCATTTTATCCTGATAGGTGACTTTAAAGTCTCTTATCTCTTGCAATTCTTATTCAATGGAGCCATTCTATAATGCATTTGAAAGTTTAAATTCCATAAAACATTCTCTATAAAAAATAGTGTCATTCATTTATTCAGTCAACAGTCATTACTCTTTAAAGATGGAGGTTTAAAAAGTAATTTTCATAGTATTTTGCTAATTTACTTCTGAAAAAAGAAAATACAGTGCAGGCTTATAGAAAATTGTATGATTTTATAGTGATCAGCATTGGTTTTGTTCTCGTTCTGGAAATTTTGATGTTAAAGATAAATCTTGTCCTGGACGGCCAATCTTTAAAATAGTTAATGAAATTCTTAAAAAAAAATTAGAAAGGCCGACATATTTCATCTCGTGACAACACTATGGAACTAAATATCGATCATTAAATAGTTTTGAACCATTTACATAAAGCTGGATATCAAAAAAAGCTCGATACTTGGATTCCACATGAATTAACAGAGAAAAATTTAATGAGAGTTTCCATTTACGAATTGCTGCTGAAAAGAATATTTGTATAGCTTGCATTATATATTTGCATACTATATTTTGGACTGTATTTGGATAGAAAAGTATAGTTGCTTGCTGTATTATATATAATTTAGTTGAAAATGTCAATTAACATTTTCGCTGCTGCGAGTGACGTGTTTTACTTCTATCACAGTGCTACTAAGTGTGACGGCTCCTGACTACCAGTCCGTGCTACGTACTTTTTATCTGTTTTCCACGCTTCATTACCAGCACTTCCTGCTATCTGTTAGCCTTATTTTATAGTTTCTGTCCTCCTTTTTTATTTGGACTGTGAACTGACTGGTGGAGTTAAACATGTTTTTTTTTATATGTTTAAATATTTATTTATATGTTTCAAAATCGGGCCAATTTTGAAACAAATGATTACAGGTGATTAAAGTGGATACAACAATAATGTACAAAAAAGATTGTGGTCAAAGCCCGGAGAAGCTTCAAGAACAGTGGCAAACCCCAGGTTGACGCCAAGGAAGATATTGTTGAGTATTTTATGGGATTAGAAAGGAATTGTTCATCATGAGCTGCTCAAACCTGGCCAAACCATTAATTCAACTCTACCATGAACAACTTGTGTCATTGAAGCAAGCAATTTAAGAAAAATGACCAGAATTGATCAATAAGAAAAGCGTTCTTCATCACGTCAATGCTAGGCTACACACATCTTTAACACTCCAAAGGCCGCTAGCCTTACAATCACATGGAAGGTCGCTACGGATCTGTAACATCTGCTTCACTAAATAAAATTATTGAACAAAAATACCAACAAATTTCTTATTGTACTAAAAGAAAAGATATAAGATGAGTTTCTAAAAATCAAAACAAAAAATACCTTGACTAAATTAAGAACTTGAATATTAAATTCTATTTATCATTAAATACCAACACAAGAATCACTGAATACTAGGAACAATTATAATATGATTAAATTGAATACAAATATCATCACAACAACAACATCAGCCTCGAAAGGCCTCCAATATCTCATCGATAGTTATGTGTGCTCCAATTGAATAACAAGATTAGTTATGTGTGCTCCAACTGAATATCAAGATTGGCAGTTCCTAACCAACTTCAAATATGTCCCGGACAGGTGCCAGTTGGTCTATTTCCTTACGTTGTTGACGTGTTTCTTGGTCGTCAAATCTTAAGGACCAAAAAAAAATCGAAAGTTTCGTACACTCATAGTAGGACGAAATATTTCGATCCCAAACTTGGAATCAATTGTGCCACTTGAGTCCCACAAATCATTCAGATTTTTTCCCCCAGCTTAATGCATTCCTGCAATAGATAACAGTCCAATAAAGGCTTTGATTTCAACTAAATCAGTTGCAATTGCATCCCTTTCTCATGAAAAAGTTCCAGGTAAGCTGTCAATCCTCATATTTTGCCACAAAAATTGGATGCAACACAGGTCACCCCACTACTGGATTGTAAGACTCTAAGAACCATGGAAATACATGGAGGAAAGGTTCTCCTCTTCCAAGTGGTTTAACAATACTTCAAATAGACCACTCAATGAATCTCTCAGATCTGGTGTGACCTTCTGAGGGTCAATGACTCAGCAAAGATGTATCCAATGTTTCGATGTATCCAACGTGCAGCCCAGATCTTGTCCCGTGTTACTACCATTTAATGTTTTAACATTGATGTTAAATGCCTAACAAGTATTATATTTTTCAATATTAACGCCCAAGTCCCCTTAACAAGTTCAAGATGGTTGGTGGGAGTTGTAGAGTTAGTGTAAATGTTAATTTGAAATGGGTAATCTCAAGTAAGTAAACATGTGTTAGGAACATGTTTACGTCATGCTTAAAAGGATTTGGTATATTTAGATGTTGCAGTGTTAGTTTTTTATGGAGACACTTGCATGAAGTTTTAAAATGAATAGAAAGCTTTAAAAATTGAAATTTTATTATTATTTTTTTAAATTGTTCAATATGTATACATATTTAAACTTAATTGCTCTTATAGGTTAATACTGAGTATTTAATAATTCTAAAACGGATACACACATTCTTATTTTTATTCTTAGTTTAGTAATAATTTAATTTTTTTTTTTTATTATAAAATAGGCGTGCTTAATTTGATCTCAGTTCGGAATAATTTATTTTTAAGTTCTCAAAATCAATTTTAGTCAGCATGAATGTAATTTAATATTATAAATATTTATCGATTATGTAAAACCGATATAATGCCATGATACCCATTATTAAAGTAAACAAATTAATTATGCAATACATTTAGGAATTGAATGGCTTTTAAATATGCTAAATGGTGTTACGTTCTATTGTTATTTTATTTATTTTAATTTGATAAATTTTATTCTTAATATTGTTGTTAATAAAGTTGGAAAACGTTGGCATGTGAATTGTTTTCCTTTCTTAGTTTTTTAATTTTTTTGTTCTCTTTAATGTTGTTCTACGATGTGGCTTGATGATTGTGAATTAGCACTTTAGGAATATAAATATACTTAAAAGTATTAACAATCTTCTTATTTTTAATAAAATAAATTATTTAAATATTTTTTATTGATGAGTTGGTTAGTTTATTTTATTGTAGGTTCTAACTAATTAAAAATAATAATTTTATACAATTTTTATTATATCTTTATCTGAATACATTTATAATTTCATTTATTATTAGCCTAAATTTTTTTTAACGAATTTATAATAACAAAATTTTACATGTTGAAATTGATTGGGGTTGAACATTTTTTCCGATTTTTTTTTTTGGTTATGGAATTAACTGAGTTGGTGTAAAAAAAATATATAGTATTCCATTTGTACAGAGATTTAAAACACTAATTACTTTTTTAAGTAAAGTCAGTAATTGCAATTACTGAAAGTAATTACTTTCATACCATTTGAAATACATTGATTATACTAGTTTCAAAAATAAAAAGAGAAAAGTAGATAACGATATATATTTTCCTCTAAAATTTTACTGATTATTATTGGAAACTTGTTATAAGCATGCTTTTCCTTGAGAAATTTTCCCATAAGTGGTTAAAGAGTTATACAGTAGACCCTCATTACCACGAACTCAGATAGAACAAACTCCTTGTTAAAAAGAATCAAAATCGATTCCTCTACAAAAATCCATAGATTTCTAAACGGCACCTTCATTTTAAGGTATTAATTCCTTTTGTACGGACTGCGAACTACTTTTGATCCCTCTCAAAAAACTTTGTCACAACAAACTTATAAGGCATGTAATAAATAATATTATATTCCTCTTTGTATCCTTTGATTGTAATTTTATCATTTTTTCACCTTATTAGTAACGGTTCCTTGATTACAAAAATGGCGGAATGATTTTTTCTTCTTTCTCCTCAGTTAGTTCATTTCATTCAAGTTAAAAAGAGGTCTTTTATTTTCAGAAAGTGAAGAAAACACTGATTTTTATGTTATAGGTTCAATTCAAACTGTTTTTGATGATTTTATTCAAGAATGTTCAAATTTTATTATGAAAAAACTTCAATAGAATCTATTTAAATTGAATCTATGTTACTAAAATCGGCTTTTTCTAAACTTTTTAAAAATGGCAGATGTCCTTCATTGATATGAAGCCACTCCTATATTTGATAAATGTGTGAAAAATGAAAGTTGTAATAAGTTTAGTATTATACATTTTGGGTTTTTAAAAAAAAATAATAATCTGCATATTTTGGTTTTATTCGGATGTTATAAATTGCTTGTCCTATTGCTTTTGTATAATGAGGGTTTACTGTTTAACCATTATTTTTCAATTCCTGATTTAATTTATTACAGTTTTACGGTATTTTAAACAAACAAAAAAAATTCAAATAATGATACTATTGTTAGAATGTTTTTAACACATGTTTTCCATTATTAGTTTCTTTCAATTAAATGTCTTGAATTATTTATTTAGTTCCACTATTGTGTTTGCATATTGCGTTTATACTACTTTTGCAGATGGTAAAGGGGACATGACCTCAAATTCCCTCCGTATACCTCACGGCCACACAAACTCCAATGGTACGGAAAGCAGGCAGCAGGCTAGATTTAGCCCAAAGCGCATTTACTACCCCCAAAACCAGAGTAAATTGAGCCCCTTCTTTCCCCCTTATTTTATTATTATCTTATTAGTAACTGTTCCGTACATGTTTCTTGGGATTATATTTTAATAATTTTTTTTTTTTCAAAGTTTAGTTAAGTATTATGTTTTTATTTTTAAATCAACTATATAAATTATTAAATGGTCGGTAGAATAATTTTATTAATACTATGTGCTTAATAGTAAGTAAAATTAATATTTACTGAGTATCTAAAATTATTGTAGCCTTTTTTTTTTTTTTTTTTTTTTTTTTTAAAATTTCTGTTATTTTTATAACATATCAATTAAAAATATTGTTTAAGTCGACACACCAAAACTTGGTAATCGGCAATCAATATGATTTCCAGCTAATTGGATGGTTTAATATCAATATGTTCCATCAAAACTGTTCGAGTAGGATTAAAACATATATAATAATGGAGTGGAAACCATCTCTCTGTAGTAAGTTAAAGGATGAGTAGGTTAGTACCAATGAAAAAATACGCAAATATTGGAAGAAAAATATCATTATCACAACAAATTATGAGTACATTTTATGTTGCTTAAAACATTGTGGTAAAAGGTTGTCCAGATGGATGGTTTAAAAAGCATACTGTTGATACTCGACGTATGCTCTACGGGATAAAGTTCCCGATGAGCCTTCCATGTAGGAAGAAATAGTTGAATGGAGCAGTTCAGTGAGGAGGAGGGTAGAAGTCAAAGAGATGGCATTGAGTAAATTAGGATTGAACGAATGATTTAAACTGCAGACTCAGTAGAATGTAGAATGGTTGATGAGTTCTGGTTACCTGAAATAAGAAAGTTTAAAGGCAAGGAAATACTGACACTTGTCGGATGGATAGAGCTACCTTAACTTGGCTTGTATGATTATCTCTGGCAATTCCAAAAATAAATCTAATTGAGCAGTTCATAAGTTGTTTGTCTTGCTTCAAGTTTGCCTGGAAGTCCACCATATACTGGACAGCCATAGTCGAAATTAGGGAAAACAAAGAAGGAGTTCGCAGTTTTTCAGTAGAAGGGGTTTTTTGTCACAAGTTACACTTAGACAAGATGAAAAGTAGCTTTTAGGTAGGCCAAATATAAACAATCATATTTGGTTAAAATGCCAAAACTTTAAAATTTGTGGGTTTTATGTTGTCGTACAATAACCAATTTACTTCACATCTCTCATAATTATTAGTGTAAATGTAACAAGGAAGAAACTTCAGCCTCACAAACAACTGATTGTAATATAAGTTATCGATTAGATGAGAGAGGGAAATGTAAGTTATCAGAAATTAGATCTGAAGGTAACAGAAAAGCTTTTGTCAGTGACATCATGTATTTTAAGAGCTCAGAAGATTATAACTGTCGATTAGTTCAGGTTTTGGTGTATTGCAAACCAGTTCGTATTGTATTTTTTTACATCATTTATCTTATACTTAACTTTGATAAACTTTAATATTGAATTTAGATGTATCAGGTGTAATTAAGTTTAATGGATATTAATAATTAAAGTATTTAAATTTATTGCAGTAGATTATTTTGTAACAAGCTATTTGGAATATCACACAGCCTAGTAGGCTTATGCACAAATATGGCACATAGCTCACTGCTTAGAATTTAGTTACAGTTCTTTTTTTATGTTTAAGATACATATAAAATTGTATAATTTTTAGGAATTTTGGGATTTCCATGCAGTTCGACACCTCCACCAACTTTCGAAGATGCCATTCGATCAGACCCGAACATAGATGGCGCTTCACCCCGTCACAGACCCACTTCAAGGCATAGCACAAGGTAGCTACTTAGTTACTATTACATTTCTTATTATTATTTTTTTTTCTAACTACTCAATTTGACCCCTTAATGGCAAATGCTTGTTTGGCTCTTGCATCCCCATGCAGCATATAATTAAAATTGGTTATCTTTAGTTATAATTGAAATAATTACGACTATGAATGTTATGTAGAACAACTCGCATATTTTACCTTTACATTTACATTTTTTTAAATAGATCTTTTTTTTTTTATTTTGTTGTCTATACCTTTTTTTTTGTATATATTTGTTGGACCCATAGTGAGATGATGGCAACAAAACACGTCGTTACTTTCCATGAAGAACATGTAAGGTAAGCAGGGCAGAACATAAAAAAAAGAAAAAGAAGAAAAATTTAGTGTTTAATGTGTGTATTAACCACAAATCCAGCTGCTTACTTACTTTGTTCTTACCTTTTAACGAACTTTGCTTTGTTTGTCTTCTTAAACTAATCATAAATTTTAATTATCATAAATTAAAATTTCTGTTTATGTTAACAGACCTTTCAAAAGTAATTAAATTTAATACAAATTGATTTAGTTTGGTTTTGGCCTTTTATTCTTCATTTGTTTGTCTGTTTGTTTTTCAATCTTCTGTCTTGTCTTTTCTTCCGGTTTTCTCTTGATTTATGTTTGACTTGAATGTTCTGTGTATTTCTTTGGTGAGTGATCTATATTTTGTTCATGAATATCTCATTCAAGACTCTCTGTATGCTCACAATTTTCAGTACTGGCCTATTTATAAATATTTTATTTTATGAGAAATAAGTTTTTATTGCAGTAATAAGTTTGAGAAATGTTTTTTGTTGGTATTTATCATATTTTTTATTAATTTATAAGTTGTTTTTAATTTTATTATCTGAATTCATAGAAAAAGTTCTTGTATATTTAGTTTTTACTATTATATATATTTTTCATTCTTCAAGGACACGGGGAAGTATGAGTTGTAAATTTTTTACTGGATAATATGAGTCAGATGAATAATTCGATTCACTAAACTTTTTCCCAGTTTTAGATAGTGCCAGATGTAAAAATAAATTGTGGTCAGGCAGTAGAGTTACTTTGCTTTTTATTTTATTGGGTTTTATTGGAATGCTCCTGTTTATACAGTCTTCTAAAAAATATTTTTGAAAAGAAATTGCTTTTAGTTTAAGTATCTTTTCAACTGTATGCTTTATCTAATATCAACCTTTTTTTCCTGTATTGTTAAGTTTTTTGTTAATTTAATCTTTTTTAATAATTTTTATAATGTCTTGTGTTTGTTTGTTTTCTTCAATCTTAATTTTTATTCATATGTATTAAGTTTATTATTACCTCTCTGCTAAAACCCTCTTTTGCATGCATCATCATGTCCTCCCTCTTCCTTCCTCAACGCCCACCTGCTACTATGAGGTGAACTGTAGTGAGATAAACTAGTAGTGAGGGTAGCTGTGTGTGTGTCGTAGTGTGTCAGAAGTGAGGCTAGAGTGTCGGTCAGACAAGTCGACGCTGAGCGTTGAGAGCAGTGGTTCCAACCTCGGGCGCCACTTTGAAGGATCGACTCCAACGTGGACAGAGGGGACCCCTTCTTTTACCGAGAGCAGTTCCAGTGGCGATATAGGTATGTTTTCATTAGTATTTAGAAATTAATTTTTTTTTTTTTAAACAGTCAATATTCTCAAAAGCATATCATAAAATGAAACAATATTAAATTCAATCATCTTTTCATGCTTAATTTTTATTTTTTTAAAACTTTATTCAGTTTAATTTACTAACTAAATAGGTATTTGATTTAATTAAGAAGTATACTTCAGGATATCATTTCTATACAGAGAAGTCAATAATTTTAGTTAGTTATTCTTTCTTTTCATACTTGCAAAATGAATGAATAATTTAATATTTATTTTATAACTTCAAATATATTTATTCATATAGCAATGAAGCTTGCCAATCATCATTATTCATATCAGGTTACTTAAGATAAATTAAAGTTATTTCTAACGGCATATAATTATTATCAAATCTATGCATGTTATAAAATAATTTATATTGTTAAATGCAAGGTGTTCTCAGGCATGAAAAAGTCGGCCATTTTTGTCTAACTCGCCAGAAAATCAAGGAATTTTCCGATAGTGTTTGAATGAAATATGTTTGAAAATGAAACAAATATATTTTAAAATACCATAATTTAAAAAAAAAAATCAGTTGTGGTTTTGTGCTTTGAGGATTTTTCCAATTCCAAGTGTCTACCAGTCAAATAGACTAAAATAAAGATTTAATTGAAATTATTTGTTAAACCATGATCAGATTATCATAAATTGGTTTACTTAAAAAGTACATTAATAAAGTTCGTATAAATTGTGGAGCATAATTTTTATTTATTTATTTTATTTTGTTATATTGGGAATTTGTAGAGGCAAATAAATAAATCATTCACTTGCTTAGATATAGTACTGTGATGATGATTAATATTGATTTTTAAGTCTTGTCTTTTTATTTTATTTTTTAATACTAAATGCATTTTTATTGTATTAGAAAATGTGCTATTGTTAGGAGACTATATTTTTTATTAATATAATTATTCAAAGATATGTGAGATAAATATTCACAATAAAAGGTGATATCCAATTTGTTTCCTAACTTAAATTAGAAAAAAACAACACAAAACGTAATATTATCTTAGTTATATTTTTATTAATTAACTATTTAATATAAATCATTAACAATGAAAAATGGTGTCAACCTCTGGGTATTCTGCAGCGGTTTGATAGATTCTAGGTAATTTTCTATGGCTTCTTCAAAAGTTTCAGGGGTTATCTCTATTATAACTTGGCAGATGTTATTTTTTACGTCATCCAACATTGCAGTTTTGTTGATGTAGACGCAGCTCTTAAGATAATCCCACAAAAAGAAATCTAATGATGTCAAATGAGATGATCTTGGTGATCAGTTGATGTCGCCTTAATTTGAAATAATGTAACCTCTAAATTTTTCTTGCAAAACATCTAACACTGCCTGCAATGTGTGGCATGTTGCTCCAACTTGCTGAAACCACATCTCTTCCACATCAATGTCCTCAATTTTGTGCCAAAAATAATCAGTAGTCATTCACCTATAGTGTTGACCATTGACTGTATGTCTGACCTTTATCGCTTTCAAAAAATTAAGGCCCAATTAAGCCTCCTGACCACTATGCGCACCACTCAACTAACTTTTTGGGCATGCAATGGTGTCTTGTGTATCACCTAAGAATTTTCCTCACCCTAAATGTGGCAATTTTGTTTATTAACACACCCATATATCTGGAAGTGGGATGGGGCATCTCAGTGGTAGTGAGCTGAGCTTCTATTGCTCAAGGTCCCAGGTTCGAATCCCGGCTCATGGAAGAAAAATTATTTATTCATTGGCCGTGGGGTGACCCTGGGGTCGAGAAACCTTCATGGGGCACACCCAGCCACAATAATGTTGGTCCCCTTAATTAAATAATTAAGTAAGGGTGAAAACCTGGTGGTTGATCTCGTCAAATCACACTTCCTTGCTCAACCGTTGACCAAGAAACAGTGCTTTTCTTCAATAGTAATGAACCTAAGACCCTTCATGAGTTTTAATGGTACAAAATATTTAATGGTGTCTATAATAGAAATGATTTCTTCATTGATATATTTTATGATGCTTTTAACTAAAGATCTAATTCTGAAACATGCCTTGATTTGAAGTTGAGTTTGGATGGAAAATCAATAAATGAAATGGAAAATCAAATTTGCTAAGATTGGTGATATGATTTAACAAAATTTTGGATTGGGAAAATTTTTTTAATGTTCAATTCTATATTGGTGATACATAAGCTGTTGAATCCTCCCCAGTATTTTTTTTATTTTTGGGTTAGCACTTTCAGTCATTAAAATCTTTGTCAACGCCATGTTGTTTTCTTATAGGCATACATTGCTTAAGAGCAGACAGTCTGCAGAGGGTCACCTAACCTCATGTTACGACCATGGTTCCCATGGTACAACAGCTAGCTATTAATAGCTCCATAGCCAATGCCTTTGGGGCCAATTTGGGTTTATTCTTCCCACTGACTTCCTCAAGCAATGACAAATCAGCTAAGATCCGTGGTATATGGACGCTCAGGGTCAATCAGTGAACAAGAGCCGATATTTCTTTCCCTGAAACAGATCAAAGCTCTTGTTGGCAACTGCTGATTTTCTGTTTTATTTTTAATAGGAGGCATCAACTCACTATACGAATTATCGAACACTTGTACTGAAGTACAGTTAATTTAAGAAAATGTAACAAAAGTTCTAATAGTATACTGGTATTTTTATATGTCTATATCAGGAATGCTGACAGTGGCTTGTAGTTTTATTATCCTAGATTGTTGTGATATAAAGTTTAAAACTAAAGAATATTTTATAATGTTCAAAAAATGTAGTAGCTCCTATTGTATCTTTGCATTCGTTCTACATTTGCCATCAATTTATATTTATTATATCATTTTTTTATTCAAACAGTAATGACAAAATTTTGAAATCAGATTAGTGTAATTTCAGAACTTTTAAACACATTTGATTATACTAATCTGTTTTTATCCTAATTTTGATTTTGTCTATCTGTTCTTGACTGAAAAATAAATTACGCAAATATTGTAGGTATACATCTACATATGTATTGTTGAACTGATTCTAAAGTCAGTTCACATGAGCTTGGTTACTCTATGGTATTCTATAATTATAAATTTAAGACAAAAAACAATCAAATTCTATTTAATTTCGATATAATATAATTAAAAGTAACCATTGTCTCATGTAAGATTTCATGTAATAACTTTATTTTATTTTTTAAATTATGTACAAAATTTATTTATCAACATGAAAAGATGATTTAAATAAGTGTTATTGGTATTAATTCATAATTATCGATTTTGCTAGTGCTTTTTATTTAAATGTTTTAGTTGCATTTTGTTAAAAAAATTTCTCTTTTATTTTTTATTTAGTGATATGGAGGGAAAAGGGAATGAAATTCATTGAGCATGTAAATCGGAGCTCATGTATCTTGAATATTATTTTACAATGGAATGTTTTTTGTAGCATGCTATTTGTTAATAATAGAAGTCAATTTTAATATATTTAAGGGTATTTGGATACATATTTTCTTCCCATCCCTCGCTGATATCAATTCTACACTAATCACTCATTTAAGATCAATAGGATCTACTCAGTTTACTACATTACTCTACTCTCAGTTTACTAACTCATTTGAATCATGTTAAAGAGGCCTTTCTTGAAATGATCTAGTCAAGGAGGCAACCGCTCATTTTTCTCAAGGAGCTCTTATGAGATCAGTTTAAGAGCACATTTTCTACTGTTCTGGAGCAATTTCTTGCTTGCCGTTGTTCTTCTTTGGCCAAAATGTCAAAATCAGTTATTTATTGATTAATATTTCTTTTATTTTAAATTTTTTCACCAGACATTATTAATTACATAAGTTGTCATAGCTAAAAAAAAAAAAATTATTTTTATCAGACTATTCCCACTTAAATTAAAACAGTGATAATCATTAATGATTATGTTTTCATTTAAATTTCTCGATAGACACTATAAGAAGTTATCTATTATTTAATATTTTATTTTATTTAAAATTAGTTTTATTCATCCATTCTACGTCATTATTTTTTCTCTATACTTTACATTTCTTAAAACAGGTTAGTATCATATTTATGCCAATGTGCAATTAGATGTAATCTCTATGAACATTTAGATATTAACTAATTATTTGATTTAAAAAAAAATTTAAATTTGATCCTCCAATTTATGTTTAAATTGGTTTACCATTGACCTATTAAAATTAATTAAATTGGTTTACCATATTAATATTAATTTACCATATTTTATATTAAATTGGTTTACCATTGAAATATAAAAACCTAGGTAGAGATTGTGATATAGTTTCTTTAAAGTATAACATTTTTAATGGTGTTTTGATTCATGGGTATGTGATCATCTGTTGGGAAAAAAAAGTAATGCCTTGTTTATATTTTAGATAGTGATTTTGAAATTTTTTTTATTTATTTTTTTTTTTTTTTATGGAATGTTTTATAGTACCTGTTTTTGTGTATATGTATGTAGAACTGAGAAACTAAAAACATGTGTTAAAAGAATGCTACCTTTGTGTGGTGTGGTGCTGTGATGTATGCTTGAGTTTTAACAAGATATATAACTATCATAACTGATATGTGCTGTTTGTTTTGATTTTGCTACTTATTAGTTATTTATGTATTATTATACAGGTTTATGTTTTAAAATAATTTGAACATGTGAGGGAACAGATAAAATTAACAATAACTTATGATTATTTCTAGTAAATAATGAAATATTTTATTTTTGTACATTTAGTTTTCTATTTTTTATTATGCATTAAAAAGGACCACACATGTAGTAATGCTATGTATGTTTTATTACTGTTTGTAAACAAAATTGTTCGGAGTTATTTGTCAATTGTATCTTGAATGAACAAATAAACTGTAGAGAGAAAGAGAGAAACACTTTATTTTCATAAAATATAAAATATAAAGGATTGCTGCCCAATTACATTGGGTTGCTATACACACAGCATACTCTTCTATCCTTAAGACAATATATGAACTTATATATAAATATACAGAAGTATTAGTTAATATTAGTAAAACAGAAATATATATATATATACATTTTTATTATTTTATTTATCCTTATAATTTTTTTTTTTTTTTTTTCCTTTTTCCCTCTTCTCATTGTTCATGCTTTTTTTTTTTTTTTTTTTTTTTTTTTTTATTTAACATTAAGTTTCCCTTTCTCTCACTTCTCTCTCTTTATCGCTATTGTTTTCAATTATTCACTAAAAAAATAAATAAACAAATACATAAATTAAAACTCTCGGGCTAGCCATGCACGTGGTGGTGAATGATTCCCAGGGAGTCGAGGACTATATTTTCAGCCAACCTCGCTACGTCCTTAATGTCGACACCTAGTTCCTCGAGGAAGCTCCTTGTTCTTTTTGGGATAGTTCCGCGAGACCCAAACCAGAGGCCTCTCACGGTGAACTCTCTCTCTCCGAAGGTCTCACGGAATTTCTCTTTTAGGAAAGGGATACATTTATCGTACGTGTTCTTCTTTTCCCTTTCCACTTCACCCGCCTGATCGAGGTCATTGCTCTCAAAGCGGACAGTTGGATCCAAGATCAGCGCTGTCCTTCCTGTCTTGGGAAATGCGACGATATCAGCGTATCTCGTAGAGCCCTCACTATCGATGCAATATACCTCGTCAAAGCAGGTGAATTTTTTTTCCCTAAGGAGCCTCATCAATTCGAACTTGACCCGGTGGTGACGACGTGTTATGAGGAGGGAGTTGTTGGGGCATTTTCCCAGCACATGTGCTGGTGTTTCAGACTCTCTGCCGCATTTACGGCAGAGGGACCCAACTTCTCTGACCTGTCCGCTGACTCCTGGGACTCCACGCAGGGGTGCATAATTAATGTTTAGTTTTAGGGCATTCGACCATTCAGACCCAGAAAGTACTTGCTTTTCGTAGATGTATCTATTCGCTTTCGGGGTCTCTTTAAAATGGCGAACACCAATACCCTGCCACCTGCAGTTGGCCCATTCCTCAAATGCATTTTCTCGTAGCGACTGCCGTAGAGCTTTCACATTTCGATGACCCTGATCAACCCCCAATCTCTCGGCACATTCAGCAATTTCAGCCGAATAATCGAAGGTAGACTGAAAAAGGGCATCTGGTACATTGGACAGTCGCTGAGCAATGGACCAATGTTGAAGAGGAGCCTCCCATTGGCAGCGGATTAATCCCAATCCTCGGTATCTCCTGGGGGCATACAACATCGCTGTGGAAGTATTCGCAGGCAGTCCAATAATGGCCTTTACGCTC